CTGGCCTACTGGGTGACCTTGGGCAAATCGCCTCGCTCTGTGCCTCAGTTTCCCTACCTATGAAATGGGGATGACAATACTGACCTCCTTTGTCAAGTGCTTTGAGATGTACTGATGGCGAGCCCGAGGTAAGAGACAGGGATTAACCCACTGAGTCTGACAGCAGCAGCTCCGGTGCATGGAAACCCTCCCTCCCTCCCGCCCCTTGCATGCCATCTCCGCCACATACCTCCATAAAAATACTGATCCACTGTTTTCAGCCAGCCCACATCGTTGTGCGTGTGAGGGATCAAGTGGACATTCAGCATGTCTGCTTTAGTGGCCGGGCAGGACTATGAGGAGAGAAATAACCAGACATGATGCGAACTGGAGGGGAAGGCCGCAGCGTACAAACAAACCCCATTGTAAGGGTGCTCGGGGCCAATATCCTGCAGATAGGAGATACCGATCTGAATGGATATTGCTCGGTGTAGCCAAGAAAAGGTGGAAAGAGGCAATTGTCTTCTTCACAGCCCCCTGCTCAGAGCCGGACTGCTCCCTGCACTAGATTCTCCAGGGCTTTGGACAAACAGCTACTGAACAATAAATCACACGCCAACAGCAGACTGAAGGAGTTTTTTCCACTGATGTAGTTAATCCACTTCTCTGAGAGTCAGCAGCTAGGTTGACAGAAGGATTCTAGCTGTATCTACGCTGGGGTTAGGTTGTCCTAAGTCCAGCGCTCATGGCACTAACTTTTTCACAGCCCCGAGCGACAGAGCTAGGTCATTCTAAGTGTTCAGTATAGACCAGGGGTACCTGGCTGGGGAGTCAGGACTCTTGGGTTCTAGCCCCAGCTCTGGGAGGGAGGCAAGGTTGGTGGTTAGAGCAGGGAGGCTAGAAGTCAGGATTCTGGGGTTTGATCCCCAGCTTGGTAGGGAGAGTGATGTCTAGTGGTTAGAGCAGGTTAGAGCTGGATTCTTCTGTCCCCAGCCTTGAGCCGCAGGCTCCCCAGCTATAAAATGGAAAGATGTCACCCTGGCCAAGGTGCTCAGCTTTGCAGAGCTCACAACGGGAGATCGCTAATTATCATAATCATCATCTCACCGAGAGGAAGTGACAGTTTAGGGAGATGGGGGCAGGAAAGGAAGAGGAACAAAATGCAGAAACAGACAAAGGCACCAATCTGCACAGTATTAACCCCCTAACGCCCCCACTGCTAGGGCTCTCCCCAAGCTCATGCGGTCAGTGCTCCCTGTTTTACTGAACTCGGGAGGGGTGGGGGGTGACCCTCGAGACGGCTAGTTATCTGCAACGGGAACTAAGCATTGCTTTGAGCCCCCAGCTGCCCACCACGGCCCAGAACTGGGCGGAGGATGTGAGTGAGTGTGTGTGTGGGGCGGGTGGGGGGAATCAGATGCAGCCACTGCAACGCCAGCTAAACTCTGGACTGTCCTGCCTTCCCCACCATGGCTCAAACACAAGAGCACCCCCCCACCCCCGAACCTCATCCCCCCTTTCACCCCACAGTCTCAGAACCCCCAATGCATCTGGGCCCTCCTCTCATTCCTCCCCCACCTCTCAGAAACACCTCCCCGTTCCCCGAGCCCCCCTGCCCCCGAGATCTCCCCTATCCCACCAGCACCCACTTCCCCAGAGCCCTCTAACGCCTCCCCTTCAGCCAAAGCCCCCCTCCGGGACCCCCCGATTCTCCTCCACGCCTCCTCCTCCCCCTTTTCCCCAGACCCACCCTGCTGCCCCCCTTCCTCCCGCCCAGGGCCCCCTCACCCATAGCCCCTTGGCCCCCCTCTCCCCTCACCTCATAGCCACAGCCGGCTGCGGCCGCCCCCAGCAGCCCCACGCCCAGGATCAGCCCCACGGGCAGCCCCATCTTCCGCCCGCAGCCCCTGCACCCTGCGCCTGGCAGGCAGCTCCTGCTATCATGTGACCCACCCTTCACGTGACTCCCTGAGCACGGAATCCCCCGTCTAGCCTCGCCCCCTCCACGCAGGAGCCAATCCGAAGGGAATGGGCGGGGCCACGGCCTTCATTCATCCATAAAAAGCGCCACTGCAAGCAAGGGACGCGCTGATTGGCTGAGGGGTGAGGGCGGGGCCAGGATGGAGGGAAGGAACGAGGGAAAGGGAACAATTGTAATTGACAGGCCATTCCACCTATCATGTGCAAGAAGGCGGTGAAAGGGTGAGGGCGAGGACATCATACTGCCCGCTTCTAAAAGGACCAATGGGAAGTAGATCAAATTGATTGACATATCCGAACACCTATCAGTTGCAGGAATAAAGCGCCGCTCACAAGCCCCGCCTTTTATTCCAGAGACCAATAGGCTAGCTGGGAATGCTTGAGGGACAGTTGAAACCGCCTCTCACATGCAGGGACAGCCGGCAACAGTTACTAAGCTGCGGCCGGGTCCCATCTTCCAGGAGCCCCCGCTGGGCTCTGATTGGTAGAGAAGATTGGCAGGGAATTCAGCCAATGAGGCGTCGAGTAGCGTTGCCGCGTGAGGGCCCTCCCTCGCTAGGGCCCTGTGGCTGAGACCCCAACCCCCGCCCCCCAGGTCAGCCCCGCGGAAGGTGTTGGTGTCACTAGGCATAGCTACCAGGTAACTCGGGAGAGAGGAAGGCCAAAAGTGCCGATGAAGCTCTTCTGCTCTGGGCCTACCTGAGCCACAGTGACTCCATCTTGTGAACTTTCACCTACTTCTGTGCTAACTGCCGACATAGGGTTACCACACGTCCGGATTTTCCCGGACGTGTCCGGATTTTTGGGCTCCAAATCCCTGTCCGGGGGGGAAATCCCAAAAAGCCGGACATGTCCGGGAAAATCGGACATGCGGTGCCCGGCCGGCGGAGCGGTGCCGAGCCGGGGGCTCGGCCGGCGGTGCCGGGCTGGGGGCTCGGCCAGCGGTGCCGGGACGGGCCGGGGGACGGGCTGGGGACCTGCGGTGCCGGGGGTGGGCCGCGCCTCCTCCCCCCACACCCCTCCTTACCTGCTTCAGGCTTCCCGCAACTCAAATGTTCGCGGGAAGCAGGGGAGGGGGTGGAGACTTTGGGGAGGGGGCGGGGCCCCGTGGAGTGTCCTCCTTTCAAAGGCACTAAATATGGTAACCCTATGCTTACATGCTGAAGCAGAAATGTAAGGGTCAGCTTTTCTCTAGCATACAGCTGCTGTTTTGCTCAGACTGCTGTAAACAGGCCTTGCAAGGCCAAAAGATAAGCAGGCGAAGGGAAAGTTTCTAACATGCACACTGTGTACCTGCTGTAACTGTTGTCTGGAAGGGAGGGGTAAGGGTGAAATAGACAAAGGCTTGCACAGAAACTGCTTGGAATATAAAAGGG